GCTTCGAGGTCGAGGGTTCTCGACGAAGATCGCGGCGGCAGCAAGCGCGGGGATGGATGGATGGAGGTTGAAATAGGAAGCTTCTACAATGGTGAGTGTGATGAGAAGGATGTAAGGATGAGCCTAAGAGAAGTGAAGGGTGTGCATCTTAAGGCTGGACTTATTGTTGAGGGAATTGAGCTTAGGCCTAAACAATAATGTCACAAGTGTCATCATGTGAGATGAAATTGCTTAATCTAAGATTGTATTCTTTTTGTAAGCAATATTCTTAAGTCCGAGCTACTCTAATTTACGAGAAAGACATTGATTTCTTGCATAAAATGGTGGAAAATTAACAAGACAAGACTTACTTTTGCTCTATATAATTTGTAATATGTTTTAAGTTGTGTACCCTAACTTGAAAGACTTTGGTTGTCACCGTTATAAAATGATACATTTGGCTTCAATACGTCCCTTTTGTGAGTGGGTGAATTTGAGAAGTAGCATATCTCATATTTTTCAGTGTTCAAGTTCCGGTAACACGGTCTGATACATAATTGATTGATTTTAATCATTAATAAGAAGAAATTAACAACCAAATACATGATATTTTATCAAAGATTTTACGATAAATAAATGAAAAACTAAAACAAAAGAATTTACAAAAAGCAAAGATTTTTTATTTCTAAAAATAAAAAAAAATTAATATGTGAATCTAGAGTATTCGCGGACCACAAAAGATTGCAATAATATAATAATTAAATAACTGGAAAATAAAAAAGCAAAATTACCACAAATTTTAATGATTTTAAAAACATATAACTGATATTTTTTAAAAGAAGTTTTCACTTTCCAATTCCAAAACATTTTATGTGAAAGCGGTTTCAGTCGTTTACAAGCACTTCTCTTATCATCGATCAACACAAATAAAAACTAAACAAAAAAATTTATAAAAAATCAAAGAAATTAAAAATAAAAGCTCAAATAAAGAGTGATTTTCTGGGCTCAGATGTATATGGATAACATTTCTACTCCCTGACCACAAAAGGTCTCATAGAGCTGGGATTATCATGGATCATCATTGCAAAAAACAAATATAATTAAAATCGATGAATAAATATGAAGAAATAAAACCATGGATCAGAAAATCTTTGAAATTGAAGAAGAAAATGGATGGAAGAAAACTGGTAGGTTTTGACGCAAGAGGAGGAGACGGCCACAGACGAACTGGAGAGGAGAGAGTAGGGTTTATAGAAGATAGCAAATCATGTTTTCTCTAACTTCCAGTTATACCCCTGGAGATTGCTTGAATTACAAATTTATTTTGGATTTGTACAACTGGGCTCATAATTTGAAGCCCAATTTTCTCTTTCTCTTTCTGGCGTATACCGGGAGTTTTTCGTTAAAATTCTCTAAAAAAAGGAAAACTAATGAAAATGGCTTGAAAACTTTGAGTTTTAATGATAAAGACAAAATAAAGGGTAAAGTGAATAGTACCAGGATTGACTTTTTAGTGTAAAAATGTGGTTTTTCGTTAAAGTGAACAGTACCATGAGCTTTTCGTTAAAGTTCCCAAAAAAAATGGGATGTGTTATTCACACACCTCAAATTACTTTTCACACACCTTTTGTTAATTTCTGTCCGTTGATCTTCTTTAATTCATCCGATCTGACGGCCGAAAATTAGAAGGGTGTGTGAGAAGTAAAATGGGGTGTGTGGATATCACACCCTTTAAAAAATGCTATGGATTAGGCAGGCGGCAGACTACAAAATGAATGACATATATATTATGAGCTATTGGAACATAATGAAAATATGGGGAACAAGTATATAATGTGTGTTCCTTTAAATATTCAACAAGTCTCTTGCAATATATTGAAAAAATAAAATGCAAAATGAAAGTTATCTACTTTTTGTCTAAATGAGTTGCAACCTAGGTGGGCTAGCGGGTGCCAAGGCTGTCTAGGTGCCTTTTCTTAATTTTCAAACACTTAGGCATTAATCGGGGAGGTGGCCGAGCACCAAGGCGGGAATTTTTAGAACAGTGTACTTACATCGTGGTCTCTAGGTCTCATATGTACTACATATAACTAGTGTTTAAAATATCGGTTTTGGTAGAAATATTAATATGCAAATTTGTGAAATATCAATATATATATATAATATTGACATCGGTTGATTTCGAATTTCGATGAAAATTTAAAATGAAACTATAGATTGTAAAACATTAGTTTGGACGAAATATAAAAGTTATATAAGGTGAAGTCTAAACTTAACCTTCAATTTCCATGTCTTGCTCTGATTTTTTAGATATTTCCATAAAAAGGGGTGTGATATCTACACACATTTTTTTATTTCTCCCACACCTTTTTGGTTTTCGACCGTCAGATCGGATAAATTAAAGAAGATCAACGGATAAAAATTAACAAGAGGGCCCATAAAAATATCAACTGTAGACCCCATAAAAATGTCAACTGTAGACCCGTATCTAAGAAATTTTAAACACTGATTGACCTTTGTTCTTCTTTCCAGTTTGATTTTGTGACAAAAAAACTGAAACTTGTTGATGTGTGTGTGCATGTAATAATGTGACACGTACAAATAGAAAATAGTTAGGAAGATAAAACAGCAAATAACTCCAAATAACGTGACACGTACATTTGTGTTTCAACCCTACCAGGCTACCACTACACAAACAGCAAGAAGACCATCAACAACTTGTCGGCTTAGTTCAAACAAAACAAGTGTGCTTAGGTTTAACTCCAAATAACGAAAACAAACTAATCAAAAATAACCTCTTAGACTAAATGAATGCATATACGTGACAAACTAATTACAAGGGCATATGTCTCTGAAACGCTTGTAATTTTTCTTTTCAAGAGCATGAGAGACAAGCTTAGACTAAAATAATTACAACAAATAATATATATTAGTTTAAGACATTACAGCCTTATATATTTTGTAAGGAATTGACAATTTTACATTAACAATCTTTAAATAGTAATTTTAAAATAAACGGTTTCGATTATAACATATTTATACTACTTTCATTGCTAGTTCTTAGCCTTTGTTTAAAGGATATTAGGCTTGATCAAGATACATTTTCTTATAAAAGTATAAGGGCCTATTTGATACTCTCTGCTTTAATTCAACTTTATAGACTCAAAAACATTTTTTTAAGTTCTCCACCTTGAAGACTTGTTTGGTAGGATTATTGTAAAAACTGAATTCAAAACTAACTTAAAAATTAGTCTACTTCTAAACAACACTAAAAGCGAGTTTTTAAACTTTCATCCCACTACTTTTTCTCTCCTCTCCTCACTCCCGATTTTTCTCTCTCTATCATATCTTACTCTCTCATCCCCTCATCTCCCCGAATCTTTCTCTTGTTTCTCCCCTCCCCCTCCTCCCCTCGAATCTTTCTCCTATTTCTCTCCTCTCTCTCATCTTTCTCTCCTCTCTTCCTCCCCTCCTCCTTGAATCTTTCTTCCCTTGCTCTCTAATCTCCCTCTCCTCCAACCCTTCCTTTGAATATCTCTACCTGTCCAATTAAATTGTGCAGTAGTTTCCGAATTGTTAGTTGTTGTAGAATATTTTTTTCTTTTATTTAATTATTAAAATTTACAAACAATTTTGAATCTTATACCAAATGAGTTTTTAGATCTTAAAGAAAATTATTCTTAATATATGTTCTTAAGAAATGATTTGAAAAATTATGAATTCTTTTTAATACCATACCTAACAGACTCTTAAATTTCTAAAAGATTAACGTATCACCTGATATTATAATCTACATAACTACTCTAAATATATTACGACAAAATGAGAGTTTGAACTCAAACTGCAATAGATGGAAAAGAATAAAAATGTTATTTTTACTATATATTTGTATCATCTCTCTATTAAATATGAAAACTACATGTGATGCTGAGCTATATTTCTATTAAAAAAAATAGTACAAATAATATTACAAAGAAATTGTAAGAGTAATACTTTCATAAACATTCAGGAACGTTCATAGTAGCCGATAGTGAAATTATTTTGAAAAGCATAAAGTGTTCTTCCAATCTCATCACAAAATTTAATTGAATTAAAAAAATTAAAAAAAAGTAGTTTTTTCATCACATGTAATGATTAAAGCCAACAAATCATCCAAACCCTTCTTCTACCTCTTGATCCCGACACGGAAAGACAACTATCGAGCTGCGCCACCTGTCGCAGCCCCTACCACTTCCACTTTCTTTTTGTTTTTGGTTTTGTTTGTGGGATGGAACAACCACCTTTCCACTTAGAATCCGGATCCTCGCCGGATGTTCTTTACGAGGATTTTGTAGATATGTGAATCTGGTTTGTTATCGTATATCGTGCGGTTAGAAATTATTTTAAATATTTTTATTTAAAATTAAACACAAATAGTACTTGACAAAAACACAAGCACAGTGTACGATAAACGGACACGATTCACAAATCCCAATATCCTCACCAAAAGGATATGGAGAGGATCCTATTGATTCCAGAATTCGAATCCTCGCCGGATCCTCTTTGTGAGGATTTTGGGGATCCTTGAATTATGTCCGTTCATCGTATATCGTGCGATCAAAAAATATTTTAAATATTTTTATTTAAAATTAAACAGAAACAGTACATAACAAAAACTGATCGCATAATGTACGATGAAATGACACGATTCACGAATTCTCAAGATCCTCACCAAAAGATCCGGAGAGGATCCTGTTGGTTCCACTCCAGCGAGGATCCTCTTTGTGAGCATCTTAGGTAGGTATTCTCCAATCATATTTGTTCATCGTATATCGTGTGATTAGAAATTATTAGAAATTTTTTATTTAAAATTGAATATAAATAGTACTTAACAAAAACTGATCGCACGATATACGATAAACAATGTAATTGGAGGATCATGATCCTCGAGGATCCAGCGAGAATCCTCTCTCGGTTCCACGTAACCATCCACTGTTTTGCTCCTGTCATGTTTCTTTAAATATTCTCTCTGTTCCTGTTCCTCCTCGGACATTATTAATTCAAAAAACCAAAACTCCTACCTCTGTCTATCTGACTCGCACGCTGCTCGCTCTCCCTACCACCTACGACATGTCGTTGAGTACTGGCGGCTCCATGTCCGCGGCGAGCAGCCTCAGCGAGATATCGGATATGGAGACGCTGAAACTCGGATTGGATCTTGTATCCGCTGCCAGGCGAAATATCGGGTTCCTGAGAACGGTGGCCGAGTCTCAGTGGCTTCATCAGAAGGGAACGGCTGTTGAAGCCGTTAGAAGGTCAACTCTTGGGTCCGGGGTTTCGGTGAAGTAGTTGTGTGATCGGACGGTGGATGTTAAAGATTGTTGGGTTGGTGTTTTGCAGGTACAATGAGCTCTGGATGCCGTTGGTTTCTGATCTGACGGCGGAGTCGGCGGCGGTTCCTGTGATTCATCCTCCTATAGACATTGAGTGGGTTTGGTTCTGCCACACTCTGAATCCGGTAAGCGAGCTCTGCGTTTAAACTGCTGGGAAAGTTAGGATTTATTGCCCTGCTTGTGTAGAAAGCACTTTGCTCACAAGCACTTTGTTAGAAGCTTGTCCAAATTTATATCAAGAAATCAAAGTGCTTCCTTTAAAAACAAATGTTTTTCCCAGAAATCTTTAATACGAACAGGGAATGTTTTAAGTTCTCTGTCAAACGGAGTTAGAAGAGCTTTTATCCGTTCTAGTAAGTGCTTTTATTAGAAACATGTCGAAATTATATGAAAATTGTAAGTGCTTCCCAGAAAAAACAGGAGCTTTGTCAAAAAGCGCTTATATGAAGGAGAAATTTTTTTCTTTCGTTCAAAAGCGCAAAAGATATGAAGGATAAAATTCAAGTTTTCTACAATCGAAGTCAAAAGCTCTTTTAGCCGTTCTAGAAGCAGGCGAATCAGACTCTTGATAATACTGTTGGGTTTTCCTGGCAGGTTTCTTACAGGCACTACTGTGAACAAAAATTCTCAAACTTGATAGGAAAAGCAACCATTTTCAACGAAGAGAACAAAGAGTATGCACTGATGAAGTGCAGAGAAATATGGATTAGAAGGTACCCAAATGAGCCGTTTGAGAACGAAGCTGATTCGGATTCAAATTCAGAAGTGAGGTTTTCGGAGGTAGCCGATGAAGAAGCAGAGCTTTTGGAGGAAGTGAAAAAGAATAGGTTTTTGTATTCCAAGTTTTCGGAGCCATACAGGTCTGAAATTGTGTATTTGATAGCAGCAAGGCAGAGGTACAAGAGGTTTCTGTTCATGGTGCAGAGGTCCTCCATTGATTTGGATTCTCCTTTGGTCCCTGCCTCTGATATTATGCTCATGTGGCTCACCCACCAGGTGCTTCATCTTTTTCAATTTTGTTTAATATCTCTCTTTATCCTACTAGTAAGTAGTCAGGTAAATTTTTTCTATCGGCACCCGTTGCAGGAAAGTTCTTCTCGTGTGTGTGTGAAACGAGTTACATGTGACATTTTCAAAGGTGCGGTTAGACATGAGTTTATAAGTAGTAAAAACAGTCTGACAACTATAACTTTTATTGAAATAACACTGAAAGCTCAATTGAATCCGTTTGGTATGTTAAAGTTAGGATCGAAAATCAACGTGGTGTTTTGTTGAAGTATTGGATTCGAAAGTGTTTTTCTCTAATGTGTAATGTTATCAAAGGTTTCTGAAAAACCCGAGGACTGGGATACTTCTGATTAGGGCCGTGGTAAAAAACAAGGTTGAATTTTTTTCTAAATTGCTGCTTGTTTTGTTTTTTTTTTTTTTTTGTATGAACCAGAGTTACCCAACAGTGTATGCTGAGGATTTGAAAGGGATGGAGGGTGATTTGGGGAAGGTGGTGACCGTGTGGGCCGCTGTGAAGGAAAAAGAGGTGGAAGAGACCAGGAAGCTTTGGGAGAGGACGTTTGATCAACCATATGAGAAAGCTGGTGGAGAAATAGCTTTAAAATTGGACCGGGGTGTCTCATTCAAGCCGCCTGTTTACTGGGAGGCATCTGATACAGATGTCAATACCAAATACAAGCCCATGCATCCCAGGTTCTTGCTTGAGGTCAGTTTAGCAATCTCTCTTCCGCCCGTCACTCTCTTAAACCTAACTTCACTGACCATGTGTCAAAGAAATTATTGGATGGTTGGACCACTAAAAGATTCACTAACTAAAACAAGCAAAGTAGATGCCCCGCAGACCCAAATTAAGAGATGAGTTGCATACTGATGTGGAGGGAAGTTAGGGCAGTGCGTGATTGACTTGAATACCATGACAGTGGCATTGCGGGTGTAGAGAAGTTCTCGCTGATAAAGCGCTGTGGGACATACAGTTGATGAATTTGCATAAAAAAGGAAGAGGAAAGAAATTATCACAACTAACATGAAAATAAAGAGAGTATTACTCGAAACAGCGAAATACCAAGAGTTGTATTTTTTCTGCTAATCTGCTAATGGTACTAAGTGATAATGACAACTTGTTTCGCCAGGGCTTAAAGTTGCGTGCTTCTGTTAAGACAAGCTATTTGATCCTGGTTAAATATTGCGTCTTATACTGATGGTGCCTTGGTGCCTCAATGTAGGTCTGTGTGCTTGTCAGGCTTAGGGATAAAACAAAGGTAATGCAAGAGGATACAAAGCGCAATATCCTTCGTCTTCGGATGGTGAGGTGCCACAGGGAGTTAAAGCTTGAAAAACCCATTTCTGACTTTCCGTATGCAACGTGGCAAAAAGCTTGGCACCTCTACTGTGAGTTTGGCACCAAAGGAGTCGTACTTGAGCTTCGCCGGCGAGGTGGCTCCTGTTTTAAAGGAACTAGCGTGCAAGAGACTGTTACATTCCATTGGAATGATTTACTTAGAGCACCGTCTCTAACTTTGGAGAAAGAATATCAACAAGTGGATATCTTTGCTTCAATAACTCCACCTGTTCAAGCACCATACCTTTTGAAATGTGTGCCAGACCGTGTCACAGATGATTCAGGGGCAATGATATCAGATGTGATTCTGAGAATGAACCAGTATCGTCCCCAAGAAGGCCGGTGGTTGTCTCGCACTGTTCTTGATCATGCAGGGAGAGAGTGTTTTGTGATCCGAATAAGGTTAAGTTCTAACAAATCTTTTTCCTTATGGGAAGGACCAATTTTAATCTTTTGACATTTATGACTTTTATAGAGACATTGTACCTCTTACTTATCGAATGAAATTGGAAATGCAATAATTGTAGGATGGGAGAAGGATTTTGGAGAAGAGGAGGAGAAAAACCGTCAGCTGTGAAATGGGAGGATAGGATTATAGAGATTCGAGAAGGTTCTTGGTCTTATGTTGCTGGTTCCATTGGTAGAGCCCCTGGTATGTTTTATATAGCAATCTACGTGCGCTTTGTTGACTGTTTACACAGAAATCTTAGACAACTTTTTGTTAAGAATGGTGCATTCATTGCGTTTCTTGGGATCAAATTGTAAACATTTTGACACTGTTCTAGTACAGCGAAACTGGTGGGAACAGCTATACCCAAAGAACCGCTGGAACAATGGACAGCTGCATGGAATTTTTCAACAGGTGATGAATTGATGATACAGTGGGACTTGTCATCATCGATATCAGGTCTCAGTTTTGGTATACAGAGTCAAGATGCAGAATCAACGGTACGGTGGAATTCCTTTTCTCAACTACCTACAATAGTACATAAATTCTCATACTTTGCTTTAAAAATTAAATCATAAATTGCAGGTTAAGCTGTTGAAAGGACGGAAAATGCAGTATCGAGTATGGAAAAAAAGGCCAGTGACCGAAGATGAAGATCGTCAATATGAGGAAGAAGGTGAAGAGGAAGAAGACGAAGACGAAGAAGAGGGGTTTTTAACGCTAGTCCGGTACACAGAAGATAATCCAAATGGAAGAGCAACAGCTCTCTTAAATTGGAAGCTATTGGTAGCTGAATTGCTGCCTGAAGAAGATGCAGTATTGGTGCTTCTTCTATCCATTTCGATACTAAGAAGTGTTTCGGAGATGAGAAAAGAAGATCTCGGATGTTTGCTGATTAGAAGAAGACTGAAGGAAGTAAAACTTGGGACTCGAGATTGGGCTTCGGTAGTACTTCACCCTTCCTCAAGTTCTTCCATTTCGTCACCTTACCTTCAACCTTGGTACTGGAATGCAAAGGTAATTATGGCATCAGAGGGTGCAGATCATTTTACTAGGCAACCGGGTATTAGTTATTCGCCAGAGGAAGGCGGCGATAAGTTGTACAAACGAGGGATACTAGCTGAGAGACGGTGAGCCCTTTTCGTATACAAGCTTTGGGATGATTGTACATAATCATGCATGATGCATCACACGCTTGCATATTATTTTCGGAAACATATGCTCCTTCCATATGACTCAAAAGTGAGGAGAAAAACTTTAATGTACCTAACGATGCCATGTTGGTGGAAAAGTTAGAATACATAGCGTGTATGATTTCGTTGAAATATCGTTAGCTGACATCCCAGATGCATGGAAGTTCTTCTCCAAAGCAAGACTGATTGGGAAGACAAGGGTACATCTCTCTAATATTTGAAGCAGTGTGAAAAGGATAACTTGTTTGACAAGGCAACCTAACGTGTCAATTCAAAATAGCATGGAATATTAGGGCCACGCCCTACACAAGAAAAGCATGACTTAGAGCCTTGGACTTTGTCTAAAAAGCCAACAAAAAAAAGAAAAAGAAAAAAAAAAAGAGGTTAATTATTCCTAACTCGAAGGAAGAAACTTTCCTCTCCAAACAAGCATTCCTACATTCTCCTCCTTTCCCACACGTATAAGTAAATATCTTCTTTTTACTATGGTCCTAAAAAAAAATCACTTCCTTCCCTCCAACATAGCCAAACATGGCCTTGGCCAATTTTTTGCTTCTCCTACTTTCAATTGCATGTTGTTCTTATGGGGTTACTTCCTCCCATTCCATTCAATCCATGGTTACACAAACTTGCACTGATATCGAAGACCGGAATTCGTGCCTTGCGAATGTGCAAGCCGAGCTCCAAAAAACGGGGCCTCAAATTCAAGATTCGGTGTCGATCATAACTGCCGCTCTTAGGCACACGCTCAATGAAACAAAAAATGCAATCCAAATGATCACAAAGTTCAACTCTTTGTCCATAAGTTACAGGGAGAGTGTAGCAATTGAGGACTGCAAGGAGCTCCTGGACTACTCCGTCTCCGAGTTGGCTTGGTCTCTAGGCGAAATGATCAAAATCCGTGGCGGCGACACAAATGTTCACTACGAAGGAGACTTAAAATCTTGGCTTAGTGCTGCCCTGAGTAACCAAGATACCTGCCTTGAGGGTTTTGAAGGAACCGACCGACGCCTCGAAAGTTTCGTTAGGGGAAGTTTGAAGCAAGTGACGCAGCTCATTGGTAATGTTCTTGCCTTGTACACTCAACTATACAGCTTGCCCTCTCCTCCTAGGGATCATGGTCCCCCGATGAATAAAAGTTCGTCAGGGGATGATTTCCCGGCGTGGATGAGTGAGGATGATCAAGCGCTGGTTAAATCGAATCCAAAATCGGGTGCGAAGCATGCTGTTGTAGCAGCAGATGGGAGTGGACAGTACCGTACGATCACAGAAGCTGTTAACGAAGCTCCAAACTACAGCCCTAGCAGGTACGTTATATATGTGAAGAAGGGAATATATAAGGAAAACATCGATCTGAAGAAGAAGAAAACCAATATTATGTTCGTTGGGGATGGGATCGGACAAACTATCGTCACCGGTAACCGGAATTTCATGCAAGGATGGACGACGTTTAGAACTGCAACAGTTGGTAAGTTGATGGTTTTTCACGTTCAGTGCATGCATTTTTCACACATTTTACTAATAGTCCACGTAAATTTACACCTTCTCATGAATGCCATGTTTGATACAGCGGTATCCGGGAAGGGATTCATAGCAAAAGAGATGACAATTCGCAACACCGCCGGCCCTCAGAACCACCAAGGCGTGGCGCTAAGAGTCGACTCCGACCAGTCGGCCTTCTTCCGGTGCAGCATTGAGGGTAACCAAGACACCCTCTATGCTCACTCCCTCCGGCAGTTCTACCGGGAATGCAGCATCTACGGCACCATAGACTTCATATTTGGCAACGGAGCTGCAGTCCTCCAAAACTGCAAAATCTACACAAGGGTCCCACTCCCGCTACAAAAGGTCACCATCACCGCCCAAGGTAGGAAAAACCCGCATCAAAACACCGGGTTTACGATCCAGGACAGTTTTGTTCTGGCCACCCAGCCAACTTATTTGGGCAGGCCGTGGAAGGAATATTCCAGGACTGTTTATATGAACACTTACATGAGCGGGCTGGTCCAGCCCAGAGGGTGGCTCGAGTGGTATGGGGATTTTGCTTTGAGCACCTTGTGGTATGGTGAGTATAGAAATTATGGGCCGGGTGCGGGTCTAGCGGGTCGGGTCAAATGGCCTGGTTACCATATACTCAAGGATGCCGCCGCCGCGAGCTTCTTCACCGTTGGGAGGTTTATTGACGGGAGGGCTTGGTTGCCGTCGACAGGTGTCAAGTTTACAGCGGGTTTGAGTAATTAAATTAAAATATTAGTATCGATTATTATTTGGACCTTTATATTATTGGGCTCTTTTGTGTCATCTCTATATTGTGTACGTAATCTATAATGCAGTGAATGTAGCATAAAGATTAGTATTTACTAGTAAAATTGCCCGCGCGTCGTTGCAAGGATTGCGAGAAGTATGGTCTTGTACCATCTGATTTGTTTTGCTATTTCAATTTCTTTTTGGCATCACATGCAAAAAAATGTAAACTTCGAACACCAAATTATAAGATGGGGGAAAAAAAATGAACACACATAAATTAAATTTCAAGTTAATTTTAAATTTTCATTACATCCATATTATAATTAAATAAAGTAAATACATAGTAATCATATCACAATTAAAAAAAATATAAAAAAAATCAACACGCATTTCTAAATCTCTTGTCTTCAAATTCTAATCCAATTTCCACCAAGTTCACCAAGACAAACAATCCGGAACTTTGAAATTTAATCCAATGGCTACAAACAGGGATCAATTTTAAAAATTATAATAACTTTAGCCATTAGATCAAATTTTAAATATCCGAATTATGTACCTTGGTGGACTTGATGGAAATGATCATTTCCCATTTCCACACAACTATTGGGAGCTTTGCAATTGTACACTCCAAGACAATATGAACATCCTGATTATATAATTTATTTGCCAAATGCAGATCACGGTGTATAAACAAAAAAGAAAACATAAGAAATGGGCACGCCTCTTCAATCTATCTTCGAATATATAGTCTTTCGCGTGGATAAATTCATATAAACATGGAATATTGGGAAATTTGTTACGAGGAGTGTCATGAGTTGCTATTAATTGCGTAGATAAATCATATAAATATTGGGAAGATTGTTATGAGGAGTGTCATGAGTTGCTATTAATTGCTACAATATAAATGACAGATATGATTGATATTTTATCGACTTAGGGCATAACTTTAATAAATTGCTCATCAAATTTATAGTATAAGTAAATGTGTAACATCACGTGATAATTTAACGTGAGTTTCTCCCAATATCATCTCTACTAATCAAAATGGTGATATACTACTGAAGGGAATTGCCGCTTCAACTGCTCCTTTACTTTTAAGAAGCTTTAGCGGTCATCGATGTTTCTATGCTCTTTTTGTTTATTTTTTAACTAAAAATTCTCGGTACTGTTCGTTTTAACGAAAAATCACATTTTTACACTAAAAATTCAATCATGGTACTATTCATTTTACCCTTTATTTTGTCATTATCATTAAAACTCAAAGTTTTCAAACTCTTTTCATTGGTTTTCTTAAAAAAAAAAAACAATGCTCAAAAGAACAGTGCAAAGCTTAGCCATTTTTTGGGACACATCTGAATACAAAACCCCATAATCATAATCATAAAACAGCGAAAAAAAAAAAAAGAGCAAAACCAAAATTCCAATCAAGAAAAATAAAAATTTATGTATGTAAATTTAAGTTTTACCTCTAGATTAGCAACAACAAAAGCAAACTGAATCCAACGATCTGGAGAACTTTGGGTTAATTGAAATTGATCTGGATGAGCAAATTGGGTGAGAAAAATGGTGAGAAAATTTGGATGAGCAGTATTCGGTATCGATTCGAAGTCGAGCAAGAAGGAACCGGTGCAGATGAGAAGAATAAAGCGGTGCTGGTGTTGTAGAGAAATCTCCCTAGCACGCCACTCGTGCAAAACAATTTTTTTTAGAAAACTTTGAGTTTTAAAAATGTGATTTTTCGTTAAAATGAATATTACTGAGAATTATTCGTTAAAGTTTTCAATTTTTTTTTGGTATGCAGAGAGCCAACATGTATGCCTATAGGCAATTTGGGGATTTCACTGTAGAGGGACAAAAAAGGGGATCACATAAACATTAAAAATGAGGGCAAAAAAAGTAAAAACGATGTTGTTTATGAACAATGTTTTGGTCATTCCGCTTTAGTATAGAGTATTTATCAACTACATGAGATTGAGAATAACGTACTTTAAGCAAATAAACTTAACGATTAAAACTGTTCAACTTCTTAATCATCATTTGTAGATCACTTTTAAAAAAAATCATTTGAATAAAAAATCGTTGAATTATCCAAAAATATCAAATAAATAAGCATTTAATAATCAATATGTTACTTGATATCTACACCGTGGATTAGTTTTATACATTTCAATTACTAATGATCTACGATTCAAATGTTTTTTTGTAGGGGTGCTCTCCAAGAGAAGATAAAGAAATTAAACGGTTTCGATTATGAAATTTGTAAGGTAAATATACATATTTGCATAAGGAGAATGAGCTCATCCCTTTAAGGGGGAACAAAAGTATTATCCAAAAGAAAAAGGGGAGTGTGATTTTCTATTTTTGTAGAAAAATAGGTGTCTTGTTTATTTATGAGTACTTTACATCTGCACTAAAAGTTTTAAGTTCGATTTTCTCTATTGCTTGTATCAAAATAAACACTCATAATTTCAAATAATGATTTTGCTTGCAATTACTCATCACAAGTAATTCGCCAAGTATTTAACTTTATAGACGGGCACTTTTATTTTTTGAGAATTTCAATTTTTCATTGATTCACGACTTCTTGAAAAAATATAAAATATGTTATTTCTTCACTTTTTTTTGTCAAAATGTTATTTCTTTGATAAGGACATGTTAATCTTGACGCGATATATCACTTTTGTAAGAAATTCTGTGTGTACCAAATAAGCTATCACATAAATTTCCTATTTCATTGTCTAAATATAGAAGATACTTGCATGCAACCGTATGTATATTTTTCGGCCTAATTTTTAGCCCAACTATTTGAAAACTTCCAATTTTATAAATTAAATTATTCTTGATTACAAGCATCCATATAACCATTTAGTTTAAACATTTAATTCGTAATTACTAATTACTAATCCTGCCAAAGTTAAGGTAGCCTTGCCAGTAAGTAGAATTGTTCTTGTTTTTGTGAAAAGTAACAATATCTAGCTTGGCATGGAACCTTCCTTGCCCGCCAAGCCACATCTTCTGCTAAACTGTTATAACCTAATAAGGACCACCATTCAAATCTCCCTTCCTTCTTCTTCACCCTTATAAATTCACATTTCCCTAATGCATTTCCCAAAAACAACAAATAGGGAAGAAAAACAATATTTTTCTCTTGGAAATTGTTCGAAAATGGCGTACGGAGACGACGCAGATAGGAGATCGAGAAAGCGAGTCGTCATTATCAGCGTCTCGGCGTTTTTATTGGTGGCAATGGTGGTGGCGGTGACGGTTGGTTTTGCCATGGAAAAGAGTTTCTACAATAGTCCATATAGTGGCAACAAAGGCAGGTCCCATGACAAGCCAGCCTCAATGAAAGCAATCAAAGCCATTTGCCAACCAACCGATTACAAGCAAGAATGTCTCGACAGCCTCAGCTACGCCTCCGGAAACACCACCACGGATCCAGTACAGCTCATTGGATACGGCTTCAAGGTTGCAATGAAGTACGTTTACGATGCTGCCAAAAAATCCGACTTCCTGCGAAAGCTCGAGAAGGATCCCCGAACCTCCAATGCCCTCGACACATGCGAAGAGCTCATGGAATTGGCGCTTGGTGAGCTCAGGCAATCGCTTGTGCGATTGGGGTTCATCGATGATCTTACGAAGTTTAATGACATGTTGATGGATTTGAAGGTTTGGCTGAGCGCTACAATCACTTACCAAGAAAGCTGCTTGGATGCTTTTGAGAACACAACTAGTTCTACCGATGCAGCGGAGGAGATGAAGAATGTGTTGAAAACCTCCATGCATTTGAGCAGCAATGCCCTTGCCATGGTTTCTCAAGTCTTTTCAGCCTTCACTGACTTGAACAACCCTGACCCTAGCCACCGCCGCCTCCTCCAATTTGATGCCTTCCCTGTTATTGGTCACAGTGAATTCGAAGACCCCAAGTGGTATGGAGGTGAAGGCAAGAAACTCCGCCGCCTCCTCCAATTTGACACCTTCCCTGTTATTGGTCATGGGGAATTCGAAGATCCCAAGTGGTATGGAGGTGAAGGCAGGAAACTCCGCCGCCTCCTCCAATTTGATGCCTTCCCAGTTATGGGTCACGGGGAATTTGACGATCCCAAGTGGTATGGAGGTGAAGGCAGGAAACTCCGCCGGCTCCTCCAATTTGATGCCTTCCCAGTTATTGGTCATGGGGAATTCGAAGATCCAAAATGGTATGGAGGTGAAGGCAGGAAACTTCTCACAACCAGTACCACTTCTGCTCCGAAAATTAATAAGCCCGATATCATTGTGGCAAAGGATGGAAGTGGAAGCTACAAGACCATCACTGAGGCACTAAAACATGTCCCCAAGTATGGCAATGAGACCTTTATCATCTACATCAAGGAAGGTATATATAATGAGCATATCCTGGTTACTAGGAGCATGACGAATGTGATGATGATCGGAGATGGTGCGAATAAGACCAGGATAACCGGAAACAAGAACTTTGTAGATGGCACGACCACCTACCATACTGCCACTGTTGGTAAGAATGCTTCTCGTAAATTGCCTTAAATATTCTCTTAACACACTTATATTGGCAGATAAATGTTTATGTTGTCAGATTGTGAATATGCTTAATTGGACATATGATTAATTTGGTTGTCGTATGCATGCAGCTATTCAGGGAGACCATTTCATGGTAATGGACATAGGGTTTGAGAACTCTGCTGGTCCGGAGAAACATCAGGCTGTTGCATTGAGGGTAAGCGCTGACAAGGCAATCTTCTACAGGTGCTCGATGGATGGTTACCAAGACACCCTCTACACTCATGCTCAACGCCAATTCTACCGCGACTGCACCATCTCCGGCACCATAGATTTTGTGTTCGGAGATGCTACTGCAATCTTCCAAAACTGCACTTTCTTGATCCGCAAGCCATTGCCAAACCAGTCTTGCATTGTGACAGCTCAAGGCAGGAAAGAACGGCGCCAACCATCTGCAATCATCATTCAAAACAGCACAATCACCGCCGATCCTGATTACTTCCCTGTCAAGGATGAGAACAAGGCATATCTTGGCCGTCCATGGAAGGAATACTCGAGGACAATCATCATGGACTCGTACATTGATGACGTGATTCAACCGGAAGGTTGGTTGCCATGGGAGGGTGAGTGGGGGCTCAAGACATGCTTCTACGCAGAGTTAGGCAACACAGGCCCTGCTGCTAACAAGGCAAGGCGCGTGACATGGCGCGGGATCAAGAAGATTACTGAAAATCATGCTGCAGATTTCACACCCGGTAGGTTCTTCAGGGGCGATAAGTGGATTAGGCTCTCCGGTGTGCCCTATATCCCCGGCCTGACCACTAGGAACCAACCGAAAACTGCAACTATAAGTACTCAATCCGTCTTGAAAGGCGCCTGAGTTTAATAATTTGATAATGTTCGAGTTGTTTTTGTTGGTCTGAAATTTGTATACAAATGTATAATTATGTAAAGCTCGATTGAATTAATTCTCCCAATATCTTGAACCACATTGCCATAAAAAGTGTTTACGCTTCCTTAATTCCTTACCATCAACGCCAAATTGGGATTTACGAATCGAAAACACAGTAAAAATGGCAGCCTCATGCATGATGCCGGAAGAGATGGTGGTGCCAATCTTAGCAAGGCTGCATCCGAAATCTCTAATGCGATTCAAGTGCGTTCGAAAGTCATGGTATGCACTAATCACTGACCCCCGAGTTTGTGAGCAAACACCACCACTCGTACAACGATGTCTCCTCCTCCACAGGCATCCTTTTCAAGCGGACCATGGCCAAGGAGACCGAAACTACCAAGGAGGAAGTTGCATTTTCGTTCCTCGATCTTCCTAACGACAGTGATGCTGATTTCGATAACCTGGATTCTGCTATCGAGGATTGAAGAAATCACTGCTGAGCAACAAGATTCTTATGATTACTAACAACGAGCTCATTAGTTTCATACAACCTCAAACCGGAAAAGGATAAGAGACCAAAATCTGCCAAATCATATTTCTTGTTGCACAAGGATGTAATATTGGTAGTCTACCATTCCAATTCTGTGTTCTTGCATTTTTACTAGTAAATTCTATCTATTGTTTAACGAAGCATAAGCGAAATCATAGGCACCAGTACGGCAAAAGAAGAACTTATGATGGCGCAAATCGGGATTAGAAATATAATGCATTCCTCAAATGTACTAAACACTGTTCTCTTTTGGTGAAGTGAACAGCATTTTGAAATAATAGAGACAATTGGAGTTAACAGTGAAATAAAAAGTAAACACGATACCAGACACCTAGAGCCAAAGCAAAATTGGATTCCAGAAATAGCGTTTTCAATCCTACCGGCTTAAACTCTAAAGCCCTTGCTGTTCCTCTTTCCTCTAGCCTTCTCAAACTTCCTTCCCTTGGACCGCACATAAGGTTTAGTGTGGCTGTGTGGTACACCAGGAGCTGGTCCGAAGTGCTTCACTGCTTCACGAGAATTCTTAGGACCTCTGAGGAGAACCTGCATTGGCGGCCAAAACAAGGTTACTTAATATCTTGAGAAAAAGATTTTAAATTTAACAGTGAAACTATTAAGTGGTAAGGATCAATTTAGCAGATTTGAAATTAAAACTACTTGGTGGTATACTCAGAACTCATACCACGTTCTGACCCAACGGTGCTCTCAAAGCAAGCTGATCAAATGTCAAGCACTCTCCTCCTGCCTTCTCAATCCTGGCCCTTGCAGTCTCAGTGAACCTCAGTGCTGTAACCTTCATTTGTGGAACTTCATAAACCCTAATGTCATCAGTGATGGTCCCCACAACAACAGCAATCTTGTTGTCCTATATAGAAGACTCAAGACTTTTTAGAGCAGAAAAGAATGATATAAATACAAATATCTCGATAGTATGTATAGAATTTACTTAGAAGTGAAAAGGTGATGACGATTGAGAAAAAACTAACCTTTCCTTGCATATACTTAATCAACCTCGAGAGAGAAAGTGGTGCCTTGTTGACCTTGCTCATGAACAAACGTTTAAGAATGACTGCATTGAACTTGCTTGCAGTCCTCCGGACAAGAAAACGGTACAGCTGACCAGGGAAAAACCAAGAACCCAATCAGACTACACACTCATAAGATTATAAAATATGGGAAACTAAAATGACCATAGATTTACAGAGAAACGAGGGAGATTTCATGAGCCTCGCTAAACAAAATCTGACTAACTCAAATGATCAAATTTGAAAAATAGAAGCTAGTTCCCTCAGAATATTTAGAAGTAAATAATCATGAAAAATCAGGATTAGCATGGTTCATAAACATCACAGGGAACAATTCCTCCACAGTTCAGCAATGTCAAATAGGAAGACACCCAAACTTGGGATCCAAAATAAAACAAAACCGCTTTCTCGATATTTCGAACCAGAAAACAATCGACAAAAAATACTAAATATATTGGCATGATAGTACTGATCCCGAAAATCCAAAATCTTTACACCAAACAATGCTCAATTCCATTGGAATGTAAATCAAAATCTTTACAGAAACAAAAGTAGATTACTTTTCGACGCGATACATCCAGATTTAACAGACCGAAATTACGAAAGGCTCAGATAGATGTGGAATCAGTTTTATTCCCTGACCACAAAAGGTCTCGTAATGAGCTGGGATACACATATATCATCATTGCACAAACAACAACATCCCCAAATTATCAAACCCATAAATTAAAATTGGATTCAAAGAAACTGGAATCAACAAAATACGAACTTTCATTTGCTACAAGCCTACGACCATTCTTCAAGTAAAATACAAAATGGCAATCAAATCATAATCCGTATACCAAATCCGTATAAATTCAAATACGTACAAGTGTTCAAAGATACAAAAAAAGTGTATATACCTTGACGAGAAGCTTCAGATAGATATCATCGGACTTGGGCGCAGTGCGCTTCGTCTTCTTGCTCTTACCTCCTGCCACGAGATCGATCCCCTGTTTCGCACCACACCGCACCCAATGTTATTTACGTATTAATACAGATGCTAATACAAATGACGAGAGAGAGAGAGAGAGAGAGAGAGAGAGAGAGAACGAGAGAGAGGAAGAGCGAGAGAGATACCATTGTTGCTGCTGGTGTTGAAGCTCGGTTGCTCGGGACGCCGCTTAGTGAAGCTAGGGTTTTGACAAGCTTTATAAAGTTTACAATTGATACTGATGTCGGGCGGGTCTGCTGGGGAGTGGTCTAATTGGAGCCCTAGCAGTTTGACATGCTTCTGTTTTCGGCCCAATCGAACAGCCCATTATCGAGCTTGGCCCAATGATATTTGTAAATATGTATAACTTGAGTAACGATGGACTCGTTTGGAACTGCTTTTAAAATGGCTGAAAGTGATTTTGTGAAATTGTTTTTGTAACCAATCTTGTTAAAATGCAAGTGAATCCTGAAAAAGAAGTGATTCTTACAAGAAGCACATAACTCGTGCTTACCAGAAGCATTGAAGTGATTTTGGAATTGAAAAATATTTTTTCTAAAATCGCTTTCAGTCATTTTAAAAACACTTTCCAAACAAGCCGATCTTTTCCAAAAGTTCCCCATCGGCAGCTATCCATCTTGTAGCTTGGGATGAATTACTCTTTTGTGGGTGATGGATACTAGCATTGATGACCTAAACACTTGGATCATATGGGATGACACGGTAAATTAGACGCTAAAGAGTGATTAGCTTCGTATTAATTAACTTGTTAGTACTTGGGATGGATCACGATCAAAATCTTTATCAATGGAAAGATCGAGAAATGGAAAAACAAGAATTTCATCATCATCAAGCTCGGCTCCGCTTATGACACAATGTTGCACATGAGGACACTTGAATTGCTTCAAAGAATTGGGAGGCAACTCCGTTAGGATTTGCCTCCCACACACCCCTATTCAAATTTTCCCTTCATCTTCAATTCATTCGGTCTGAAGGCCGAAAATCAAGAGGATGTGTGAGAAGTTAAAAAGAGCGTGTGGATAGCACCATCCTTGATTTAAAGAAGTGAAGACTAATCAGGAAACCAGCGAAACTTCTGAAGTGCTGTGATGATAATTTACAAATGCTCAACAAAAACCAAACCAGAACGAGCAAATATTGACCAAAAAGTAGTGTCTAAACCGAAAACCTCTTCCCTGCACAAGCAAGAACAACATATGCAGTTACGATTTACAAATTTCATAAAAACACAAGAAAATCTTCAATGTGATCAACGCTTGGAACTCTCTGATTAAGATGGCGCTTCTCCCTTGTCAAGCTCATCTATTAAACGGAATCCAAACTCTAGCACCTGTCGAGCTTCTTGTATTTTCTAATTGAGCTGTGAGAAATCTCCAAATAATCAGTTCTTTTTAGGAGGCTGCCCAAAGACGCAAAACATAAGGACATCGTGATTAAATAATATCATCATACAATTGCTGTCGAAACAAATATAGATGGCGATACAAATACCTTTTTAAGATTTAACTTTGAACCACTCGGGGACGCTTTATGATCAACTGGTTTCAATATCTCAAAGGAACACACCAGAGCTTCATCAACACTCAATAGAGCACCGGCATTATCAAACTCCCCGCCATAGTTAGGAGCTGAAAATATTGTGACTAATCTTCGTTTTGCGAAAAACTCATAGCCATCCTCCACCACCTACAGTGTAACTTAAATAATCATTCATCTGGACAACTTGGATCAAGTGATCACAAAAAAATTCAGCAAATAGTGATAATGGTTTGCACAAAGGACGCCTAGAGGTACCAACTATCGACCATAAAAACTGAGGTAAATTGTAATGCCTACAATTTTCTACTAGTTCAAAACATTGTGGACATAATTTATAAGACTACTAGGGGAATGGGAAAAGAAAAGGCGGGGAACGCATATATGGTTAGGTTGTTTGTAATTAGGATTCAATTTGTTCAAGTAAGAATAGGATTACCTGATGACCCCGGCAAATGAGATCCAGCTCATTCTTATCTAGAAAATCACTAACTCTATCAGCTCCAAAAGTACAGGAAACACCTCGATCGCTCTCCGCCCAGCCCTCAACCCTAGCATCAGGATCAGACCAAAGCAGATCGCATAACAGACCATTATCTGGAATGTCAGTTGGCCGTGAAATTTCTTTTATTTGGTCCAAGTTTTCCAACTCTGGCGAGAGACCCCCGTGCATACAAAGTATCTTCCCATCAATAAGTGCAGCCACAGGCAAACAATTAAAGCACTCGGTAAATATTTTCCAAAGCCTCACATTAAACCTCCTTTTACACTCGTCATAGAACCCATATATTCGATTAATCTTTGCATCTTCATGGTTTCCCCTCAAAAGGAAAATTTTGTCTGGGTATCTTATTTTGTAGGCCAGAAGCAAACAGATTGTCTCCAAACTTTGCTTGCCTCGATCCACATAGTCTCCTAGAAACAGGTAGTTTGCAGAAGGAGGATAACCACCGTATTCGAACACCCTTAGTAGGTCTTGGTATTGTCCATGTATATCACCTGTAAGACGCCTGCAATATTAGGAAGACCGTGGACATAAAGAAATATAAGGAGATAATTGTACTATGTATGCTTTCAAGTATCATTTCTGCCCTCTATTTCATGCAAGAAACACTAGAGCATCATCAATACAGTGTACCAGGATGTACAATAAGAGGAACAAGAAACGTTCTGAATATAAATTCGACGATACCAAGTACTCAAAATGCAGCAAAGGAACATCCAAGTCAAGATGTTTTCCAATCTTTTCGAGTCGTTTTCAAAATTCTAAGGTGAATGTGTATGTTGGTTGATTAAGGAAAAACACAATCCAAAAGTACATGATTGTGATATCCTTATAACCAGCAAAAAACACCGGTCATTACGAAAAACAAAAATCATTTCTTTGTCTTTGTCTTTTCTTTACATTACTCACCAGAAAATGAACATTATTGTGCAGAAATTGAAACTAATGAACCAATGGTGTCCCAAATTGATAACTCAAACATATTCCAAATTCATCTAACGAAACGAACGCAGCGTTCCCCAGACCCGCTTGCGGTCCGCCTTGTTGGCTTGGGGTCGCCTTTTATTTCGCACCTCAATTTAATCAAATTATCAGTTCTGCCACCATTCTAATTCAGTACCAAATTTCTAACATAATCATCCACAAGCAAATACCAGAAAATAAACGGTATAGTAAATTAGACAATTCAACACCATCATGATCATGAAAGATACAGTGAGAGAGGATGAGAGAGCTGACCGCAAATTCGAACCGGAGCTCGGACCTCGAGAAGATTAGGCTGAGAGAGGAAGATTTGGCGGGCGTTGACGCAAAGTTGGCGGATCTCCGCCTCCGAAAGCTGCACTTGCTTCCCTCCTTTGCCTTCCAAAAGCCTCCTGATTATATCATCCAACACGCCCTTATCCATCATCCCCTCCATTGTCATCATCATCATCTACTCTGCTCGAAAGAACCCAGATTGAAAGTTTTAAAATTTCTGAAGAACCAGAGAGATTGGAGAAATGGGTTGCTCTGAAATCCAGAGATTCGAATGAAGATCCCAACTTTTTGGATTGAAGGAGAAGAAAGATCAAGTGGGTCAACAGAGAAAAGCTGCGCAATTTATTTTTCTTGGGATTAGAAAATTGGGATTTGCCTTGAATGTTTCTTATCTCTATTTATTTTTCTATTTTTTTATTAATTTCCTCCTAAATTTTTCTCGCAGCGCCATGTAAGTTTCAATTGTGTTGAAACCTTCAAAGATGGACGGACAAGTGGGGGAGGGGAGAGGAAGATAGACCGGCGCATGATAGCAACGTTGTACACGTGGGTTCATGTTTTAGAAACCCGGATTCTCTCTAATTTGAAGACTCTTTAGATTCGTAAATCGTGTAAGTTCATCGTATATTATTATTATGTTTGAGTTATAAGAGAATGTGAATCGTGTCAGTTCCTCACTCAGTCCTCACCCATGAGAGGACGTGACCTCTACGTCCTCCTTTTAAATATTGTTTTATGTTTGAGCCATATTTCAATGAATTGGCAACAAAAACAAATTTAATATTATGTATGCCATTTACATGAGATTCGAATTTGCATCCACAACTACTGACACGTAAATTTGTAACATTATTTAAGGGTTTGTGCTTCACATGTAAAATTTCTCGTGGATGAAAAGTCCGGTGTTATGAATCACGTGCTGCAACGATAAAAAGGTGATTTTTGTACGTTTTTTTCTAACTTGTCACACACCCCTTTCATTTAAGGTTTTCAGATTAAATAAACCAAACGAAATTGATATGAGAATTAGTGAGAAGCTAAAAATGGTGTGTGAAAAGCAAAACTTGGTATGTCGAAATTACCTAGTTGGGCCTTAATAAAGGATCAGTCTCAGTCCACAGAAAAGTCACCTCGCCGAAGATCACACATAGCCCAACCCAAAACCCTAATTCTACACCGGCGCGGGGGAAAAGTGCTGCAAAACAAAACTTTGGAACCAGAATTCAAGGTATATTGTTCGACCTTAAAATCAATCGTCGAAGGGTTTTATTTGCTTGCTGCTGAAGATCTTAGATTTTCTCTTTCCTCCGTTTCCAGAATGTTCAAGAAGTAAGCTTTATGTTGTATATTTATAAATATATGCTTTGTGTGTTTTAATTTGTTGATCATTGAGGCATATAATTTCTGGGTTTGCTTTGATTCGATGGAAATACAAACAGTTTGATTTTAATTTTGATTTTAATTTGATTTTCGATTGTGCTTATATGGGTTTTGAATTTCGATTTGTGCCTTGAATTTTGTTGTTGTTTGTGTAATTGGAAGTATGCATTTGAATGGTCCCATCGCTTCTCAATGCATTTGAATGGTCCCATTGCTTCTCTGTGTACTCTGTGTATAAGCAATCGTTCTAAAGCTTGAGCTTTCTCGTCTAAGTGGTGGTGGTTGTTTTTTCCCTGCTTTGATGTTACGATGATTTTTGAAAGAGCTATCCTCCCAAGCCAACAAGGCTCCCCGAGAGCGTCTGGGGAACATTTATCGTATCTAGACTTACCCTTGCTCTGCAAAGAAGATGTTTCCACGACTTGAACCCGTGACCTTTGAGTCACAAAGTAGCAATTTTTCCGTGGTGCCAAGGCTCGTTCTCACAATGATTTTTTAAAGGTCACTTCTTTTTGCTTTTTTGGAAGATGAGGTTCAGGGAGGATGGTTAGGGTTCCCAGTAATTTGTTTCCGTGTGGAAGTGGTTTGAAGTAGCAAATACTTCTTGGGCAATGGAGATACATAAGGGGAATATTTTGTTATATAATTGCATAATGTATGTGTTATGTTGTAGGTTTTCCACTGAAGAGGTGTCTGCACAAAACCAAGTGAAGGCATCAGTCCAGCGCAAAATTCGGCAAAGTATTGCAGATGAGGTAAGATGTTCATAGGAATTTAACTGATGCATTAAGATACGCTTTACATTCGTTTTAACGAAAATTTAACTTCAACCGCAGTACCCTGGGCTCAAACAAGTGTTGGAAGATTTGATTCCTAAGAAGTCTCCTCTAATTGTGGCTAAATGGTTTGTTACTCTGTTGGATTTACTTGTTGACTAAGCTGTTCGTTTGGTGCTGTCTTATCCTGTATATCTAACATTGTCTCCCACTCTCTCCACTTTTTCAGTCAGAACCATCTCAATTTGGTTGTGGTAAACAACGTGCCACTATTTTTCAACATTCGTGATGGACCATATATGCCTACCCTAAGACTTCTTCATCAGTGTAAGATTTCTGTCCCACAAAATTGTCTTCTCATTATTCTACAGTCTACTTTCTTGAAGAATCATCTCCCTATTACTTTATTTGTTGATTGTCACTGTGACGTCAATGCTTCTTTGTAGCACGGTGAAACGCAATTCTGGTGTTTTGGAAGTAAATAATTTGGAAGGAACTTCTAATAATGAGAATGATAAACCTAACTTTACTTATACCAAAAGAGTTGCTTGTATTTTTTTATCTTAGGATTCAATGAATTGAATGAGAATGATCAGAAGTTCTCTTAATCACACGCCATACAATCTGTAAATAAGAATGCAATGATCTGTTGAAATCGCAATGGAAAACCAGCTATTTGGTGGGTTTCTTGCTATTCTTGGCCTCCTGCGTTGGGTTCCAAATGAGATATGAGCCCTACTGTAGTGGAAACTCTAGGACAGTTCTGTCAATATTTTCAGCCATGGATGTTGGGTTTGGGTTTACGGTGCAGGCAGGTGGAACCATCATACATGTACTCTAGAAAGTGAGAATTCTTACCTTCAGGTGAGACCTGAAAGGTGAATTGATTCTCATGGTTGGAAGTTCCGATTCAACTATGTCCCAGTACCTTATTAAAGAGGAGAGAAATATTCAAACTATGCCACAAGTCTTTGCATAAATTTTGGGAATATTTTTTTTTTCTTTTTTGAAGGGCAGCGAAGGGGCTTTGTGCTTTTGTTTCTAAGTCTGGTCTATGTTTCTCCTGTGCAATCTTCCTTTTTCATCTTTTCCATGAATTATCTATGTTATTTGTAAAGGTTTACATATCTATTTGAGAAAACTCAGGGATTCCGTGTTGCGTTTTACAGATCCAGATATAATGAAAAAGTTGCAAGTAGACAGGGGTGCCATTAGGTTTGTTCTCTCTGGTGCAAACATAATGTGTCCAGGTCTTACTTCTCCTGGAGGTGCTTTGGATGATGAAGTGGGAGCAGAAACTCCTGTGGTACAAGTTTATCTTCTTCTTTTTTCTCCGGATTAATGTTAATGTCAAACTCACGCGAGAACAAATATTATGTTGAGTTGGTTTAAATCATTTCCTTATCATGAGATGGAAATGTTGAAGTTCAGTTTGGTTTGTTTGCATCTCAGGCAATCATGGCAGAAGGGAAGCAACATGCTCTCGCAATTGGTTTCACAAAAATGTCAGCAAAAGAAATGTAAGTTGTTACCTCATTTGAAGGACTTCATAGTTGCTTCTCCTAGAGTAATGCCTGAGAAACCCTTAGGATATTGAGAACAAGATATGTAATACATAGAGCCTAACTTTTGTTCACCGACCTCAGAATCTGACGTCAAATGATAAAGCTTAAAAATTTAGAATAAATCATAAACATTTAAAGTTTCTGCCCTTGTTCTTTGTAAATTTGGGCAGTAGAGCCAAGTTCGTACTATAGCGAACTTATATATGTATCAAAGCCAGCTTAGTAATCCGATGCTGATTGCCTTATCTGCGTGGCTTACAGAAGAGATATCAACAAGGGAATCGGAGTTGACAACATGCATTATCTTAATGACGGTCTTTGGAAGGTATGTAGTTAAATTTTACTACGTATCTATAGCCATTGCTGGTGTTTTAATTATCGTTTCCATGATACATATTTCGCCTCGCTTTGCAGATGGAACATCTGGATTGAGGATATTGAAGACTAACCGTGGTATCACCAACAAGACATGAAGAAATTTATGTTAAAGTTTCATCAATGTGGTGTCGACTTCTCGGTCTTTCGAGTGTTAGATCGGAGCTTAAAGAGTTAATTGTATACCGTATTCGGAATTACATGTTTTGTATTTGTATGTGGAGTGATCAACTTGATCGAATATTTCACCCCTTAATCAAATTCGTTGTAAGATAGTCGTATCCATTATGTTACACAGTTCACATGTACTTCTCTTATGTTTTATGTAAGATGTGAATTCTCAACTCCCAAGCAGATGTTCTTGAGATCTCCAGTGAAGGAATATATTTTTTTGGAATGAACAAAATTACGATATCCTCTTACTCTGTGTTTGGATGAGTAAGTTTAAGATGACTAAGAAAATTTAATATGACGGAATTTTAACTTTTTAAATTTGTGAATTTTATTGTGTAGTGTTTGGCAACGACAATGGTGGTGATTATGGTTGCAGTGGTGATGGTAGGTAGTGGTGGTGACAATGGTATGCAGTGGTGACAAGTGGTGGTGGTAGCCCATTCATGGTCGAATTCTTTGTATTTTTTTGCTTGTTTGTTTTTTAACTCTCCATAATGGGAAGTTAAAAATAACAATTATTTACATGGAATTTGAACTTAGAAAATAAAAGTCCAAAATTTCAAGTTTTCTTTTCACACGGAATTCTAAATTTCTATGTTTATGAATCTGAATAAGGGAATTTGTGCATGTTAATTTATAAAGAAGTATTAGCCGATTTCCTTCTTGAACTTGTAAGAAGCTGCCAATTTTTCCCTTAGACTTTAAGTTTAGCCGATTATCCCCGGAAACTATTATAATTGGCCAATTTCTCTCATAGACTTTAATTTCCTACCCTAAACCCTAAAATTCTAAAGTGAACGAACAAAAGAAGAAGATATTAGAGATAAAATTACATTTCTGCAATTATAAAAATAAAGTTCAGGGAAGCAATTGTCGATTACAAAAATTCAGGAGGTAATCGGCTAAAATTAAAGTTCATGAGGAAAATCAACAAATACCTCATTTACAAATTCTAACTTCTGTACAAATTCCAAATTTATTTCCCTCGTAACTGTTGGATAGTTTTGGTTTGTTGCAACGATAGAAGGCTTGAGAAGTAAGCAATGGAGGAGAAGTGCAGGTTCAAGGTTGTAACTTCTGAATGAATGCTAAAACTAATACATCATTCGCAGCTCAAAGAATAGCAAAAGGCACAAACTTTTATAACAATATATTGATCCATCATCTGTAAATAGTCATAACTAAACGTTTTCCCGTACAAGAGAGAAATTCATCTTTTACTTGGTTTTCCTACTTCCTGGACTATTAGGAGACTTCTGGCTTTTCTTGGCTTCAAATTTCCTGATTCGTAGAGCGGCTACATTGTGGCGCTGGTTATGTCTTTTTCGTTTGCTGCACATACACATGAACACAGAAAAGATCAACAGCGGAGCCAAAACGATCCACCCTAGCTACGCTAACAGAATTTCATTATGGAAATTGACATGACAACAGAGGAAGGGCATACCTTACAAACAATAGGCCTGCTGTAAGCACCAATCCTCCGATGGCCCAAGAAACTCTTTCACTAAATGGCATTTCCCTCCACCACTGCTGGAATTCCTCTAGCACCCTCAAGCTCTCAGCTTTCTGGGGCACCTCAGATGGTGAAGCCTTCCATGAATCAGCAATCAAATCAAGACTGGCTTTCCCGCCATAGCAAAATGGTTCTTCCTTGCTCACCGATATGTCATCTTTAACGGCAAATCCTGCAGCATAGCAGAACTCTGTGCCATTACGAATCCATTCAGAGGCCCTGCCGCAAACATAATCATTTACTCCACATGGTGCTAGAACCTGGAAGAAAATATTTAATCATCAAAGTCGTTCTCTATTACATCTGGAAGGAGATAAGTTTAATGGATTTAGTTAGCAGTGTCAGTTCAACTACCATTTGCATCATTAACAAAACATTGCACACAAAAGAAATGTTAATACTATCAATGATGACGATACTTCAAGGAAGACCGGTTAGGAGGACAAACCAAGCAGAATGCCACACCCACTCCAACCCAACACTTCACACTCCCCCTTCACTTTAATAAACTGGCAAGGAAAACCTTGGACTGGAAATAAGCCACCCACATACCTGTGTTATTGCATCCGTAGAGTAGTAAGCCTCAGCACAAGCCTCAAAAACCCTGTCACAGAAAGAGGCACATATAACCGGAGGTCCTGACTGCACGCCAATGCGAGGATCACAGATGGAACATTCCAGTAATTCCCATAAATGCAAGCACTCTGGGCCAGCTTCCCCTGATGAAGCCAACTTCCTAACAGATACCAGTGCAGGATGTGTCTGGGCTACATCACAGCAAGTTTTTTTGCGGAACACCCTGCAGAGAGTCAGATCTTTGGATCCCTTGCTTACACGTTTTGGAGGCTTTCCCTCAGAAGAGAATGGCGGGAAACGCCCGCCTTGGGAAATGCATACACTGTCAGGCTTACCTGCATTAAAACGAATTTAGATAACGTTTCATAATAAGTTCTACCACACAATTAATAAAGAAAAACAAAAACTCGATAAAGTGACATATTAGAGGTAGAATTTCTTCCAAAAGCCTCTAGGTTAAAAAATAAACCATGATTAACTATATAAATCAGAGTAGAAGAGCAACACTGATAAGAGAACAAATTCAGAAAGCAAATGCCATTCTGCTGATTAAGGAGAACATGGAACCACGGGAAACAAGAAGCAGATTGCATCCAATTCCCACACCGCCATTACATACGAAAAACGAGCTATGACCATACACTCATAAGATGTGATAACGCAGTCGAGGCACACCAAAGATCAACTTATGCGAGCTTTAATAAAAAGCATGCCCCTCCATGGCTTCAACTACAAATATAATTAACATAGAGCTCCACATCCAAACTGATTCTAGCCCATCTCAGCTTCCTCGAGCCGAGTCTGTTGCATCCGCCACACCGGAACTACTGCTCATATAAAACCTATATTTTGACACTCTGGGGACAGGGAGTCTAATCTAGTGTGAGAAAATGAAAACCCCAATGTTGCAATTCTCATGTAACAGCAGCAATCCAGTGTTTCTGCATAAACTGCACCGATTAAGTGCAAAAAGAACAAGGCTTTCTGAATCCTAACTAGATTTTGACCAATACCCAATATCTATAATCCAGAAAAGAAAAAAAAAAACAAAAACAAATTCATGATGTCGTTATTTTCATAAAAAGATGATAATTTTCGATGGCTGAAAAGTTGGGATAATATGAAATCGACCCCAAAACTGTTCGTCGAATAATTTCAACACAGAGCTCCCGAAAATCAAACAATTAGGATCTGAAAACAAACAAGAAAATTGAAATATATATATATATATATATATATGTAATTACCAGATAAAGAGGGGACGAGTGTATTGAGAAGGAGCAGCAGGATCAGAGACGCGCAACCCATTTTTTTGGTCAATCGGTGGTTTATTCCATTGAGCTCCTGTAAGACTCGGAATCAGAGTATTGACGGAAGTGAGGCAAGAGAAAATTTGACTCGCTGAGAACGGTGGCTCTGTGGGTACCCGATGACCCGGTTACTAAAGGTCCGTGTTGATTGACCCAACTTGCTAACTGGGTTGAAGGGGAGACTTGGGCTCAGACTGCAGGTGCCAGCAAAGTTGAACAAGATCGAGGTCCATATATGTGTCCCTTTCGATTCTATACTAGTTTTTAGGATCTGTTTGGTATCTTATTAACAAAATTTCATCGTTTTTTAAAACATTTCTTGAAAACAATTTTTATTTTTTTAAAACTCTATTTTTGGATCTCTTTGATGTTTTTAGATAATAGATTATATTTTTTAGTTAGTTTTTAGTCAAATTTATGAAAATACCTACCAAAGAAGTTTTAAGGACTAAAACTTAAAAAGTATTTTTGAGTTAAAAAGTTGGATTCAAGGATAGTATCAAACAAACCCTTAATTTTTTTAGAGAAACTAATCAGAAGAGCTTCAAAAAAATTAATCTCAAAAAAAGCATTTAAACAATTTTATTTAATAGTTAGAACAAAAAAACTAATTTCTTAAAAACATCTCTCGATGTCTCTCTCTCCCTCGTACTTTTTTTTTCAAGAAAGGGATCCTCTGGATCCCTTTTACAAAATTCACTCAATCAATCAATTCGGATTCTTGAAATTTGATTTAATGACTACAAATAGAAACCCCTTTAAAAGTTATAATAATTTTAATTGTTGGATCAAATTTTAAGAGCCCGAATTAGATGATTGGGTGGATTTGATGGAATGAATCTGAAGATGATCCATTTCCCTGTTTTCCAACTTCTTTATCTTCTTCTCACACAAAGGCAACGAAGAAAATTCATGAAAGAGTAGAGGGTAGGAATGGGCAAATACCCATTGGTTATGGGTAACCGCGGTTACCTTCCCATTTAAATTAAATGGTTACGGTTATGTGTAATCGTTTAGATAAATAAACGGTTATGGGTATTGTGAACACGGAAAATTCCTGAAACGAAAGAGACAAGAACAAACGTGCACAAACAAATATTTGTATTTGATGATTTTGGGTTACAATCTCTCTCTATTTTGATCATCTGATTCGATCTCCGTAAGGTGTGTATTTGTGGATGTGCGATTGATCCAAGGGCCGTCGGGGCTTGATCTTGGATGAACTGTTTGGAAGTTTCTTCAAAGGGCCGTGGGCTTGATCTTTGAAGGTGGATTTGAGCGGATCTTCAAGGAGCCGTTGGGGCTTGATTTTGAGGATGAATGTTTCTTCAAGGGCCGTTTGAGGCTTGATCTTGAATAACGGTGATGAGCGGATCTTCAAGGGCTTTTGGGCTTGATCTTGAAGAAACAGTGATGAACAGATCTTCAAGGGCTTTTGGGCTTAATCTTGAAGAACGGTTGGATGTGTGTGGATTTGTCGACGTTGTTGATCCAAAGGGCTGTTGGGGCTTGATCTTGGATGAACGGATGATGAACGATGGTGCTTTCTTCAAGGGCCGTCGGGGCTTGATCTTGAATTGGTGGATGATTGTTGATCCAAAGGGCCGTTGGGGCTTGATCTTGGATGAACGATGAACGAAGAACGAATAGAGCTTTCTTGATTCTTCGGGAACCTGGATGCTTGAGAGCTTCGGAGTTTCAGAGCTTCAAAGCTTCAAGGTGTAATATGAATTGGTTCCCCAAAATGAATGAAATGGGCTTGTATTTATAGAATTTTCCAAGGCCTAATTTTGAATATAATATCCCAGATGAAATAAGTCGTTTCTGCCAGGTGTTGA